CTCTGATGAGATCGGGCTTTTAATCTCTCACCAAACACTTTCATCCGAAATGGAAGTAAGCTCAACAATTATGAAACAAGAGATTCCTCGAATCCCAACTTTCCTTCGCATATAATGTGTTTCAGACTATTCATTTTACTTTTATTCAAAATGCTCCCTTTTTCTCCTATCCTCTGTTCTCGATGCAGTTATTCGTTCAGCAACCGAGAACACATTGGTCTCTGTTCACGAGGATTGTCTGGGATTGCTGATCGAGGCCACCTGTTTGTACAACTTCCCCATCTGCCTCCCGTCACATGAATCAACTGTAAAGTCTGCCCCCTTCGACGTTGATGTCAAACCGCGCTCCTCTTCTAGCTCTGGCTCCTCCTCACAAACCTCTGCTTATTCTTCTTCATCCTCCTCCTCTTCTGCTGCTGCTGCTTCTCCCTCCTCGTCTTCTTCTAACTCCCACTCTTCTGCTTCCTTGGCATCCCAGCCTGGACTCGGCAGATCTGAATCTTTGGTCTCCGGTTCCGAAGCCGTCCAGTTGTCCAGTTCCAGAGAACCAAGCGACAGACTCGATGTGGCCCATGAAAGCATGGGTGGTCTTGCAGGCTCTTCCGCATCCGTGGTTGACGTAGTGGGAGACCGCTCCTTATCGGCCGAAAAGGTCGCCAAATTGGGCGACAATAGCGGAGGAGCCGGAAGTTCAGGCGAATCTGTTGGACTGCAACTGCGGCCTAATCGTTTGTGCCGGGCTGATTGTCTCAAGGTGACTCAAGGTCGGTGCAGTGACACCTACCGAATGCTGCACAGAAAGCTCTTTGGTGAAGGTAAGCTTCATTTTGTCTTCAGTCTTCGTTGGAAGCAAAGTTAAGGCTTCCTGGGAAATTGTCACTCCAGCAAGAATAGCTCAAAGGTCACCAACAATTTAGGAAGATCACTAACACAGGGTCACCAAGGACCTTACAATTAAATTGCAAGTAGGAGTCTTTATACATTTTCGAATCTTGATATACTTTCCTATCTGGGATTGTCAGTTTCGACTTTGTCCCGATCTAATCACCAACCTAGTCTGCCAAGTTGATTTATTTTACAATTAGGTCACATTACAAGAGCCTTAGTGACATAAAGAGTATATAAGGATTTCAAAGCTAAGATAAATATTTATTTGTCATTAGACTAGATACTATTACCAACACTTATTTAAGTAGTCTCCCGAAGGCAATTAAATTCTTTGCCTGACATGCATTCAATTAAAAATGATTAAGAATACAATTGATTTATATGACCCAGTAGCCTGAAATTCGTAATACTGCTTAAGCAAGAGATTAAGCTTGTGCAGGTAGTTTCTCTGCCGATATTTGCTGCGTGGTCAATTTAAGTAGAGTATGATGGCTTAAGTCAGTGATTCCCAAACTGTGCGCCGTGGCGCCCCGGGGAGCCGCGGCCTCTTTACAGGGGCGCCGCGAAATATTGTAAGAGCTTGAATTTGAGGAAATGTGCAGTGATTTGCAGGCTCATCCATCACATTAATTAATAAATATTGATTTAATGTCAATAAAGTAAAAAAAAATAATGAAGATACACGAGTTTTATTTATTTTTATCTCTTGCTTACGAATAGTCATACTTAGGG